GGTGCGATTGCAAAAAAAATTACGCATGCAGTTTTGATCTGAAGTAAACTTTATTTTTGTGACACTCCATTTGTGTATTTTATGTTAAATTAAAGATGGTATTTATTTAATTTAATGAAATGTTATGAAAATAATGGTTAGTTGCAGCCCTAGAATCCAGCGGGTTTTTTTCCGCTCAGTCTGCGAGGCTGAATGAGGAAAAAACACAAAGTGTATGGCCAGCTTTAGATCTTTTACTACTTGCTTTATGCTGTTTTCAAAACATTCCCAGTACTGCTAGTGACACTGAATGAAAACAATTTTCTTTAGAAATTTCAGTGAACCCTTTTTTTATTTTTCAGCTGCTGCATCCCCTTCCCCCTCGTCCCTTGCTCCTCCCTTCCCATGTCGTAGGCGAGCAGCAGATGGATTTATTCTCATTTCTTTCCTCTTCATTAATGTAAATTGCTCCATCTCCCTCGATCCTTTTGTCTGGGAGCCTTTTGAATGCTTTGATACATTTCTGATTTGCGTACACAGTTGAAGTGATCCTTTGTCAGATGACAGCGCTTCAGAACAATGAAGAGGGGGCCGTAACACTGCCAGAGATTGTGGCACCTTTCTAGAGGGGACATGGCCCCCCCCCCCCATTGTCGGGAATACTCCAATGTCAGTAATACTTCTCATGTAAGAGCTGCCTCCTGTTCTATAACCCTTTAGTTTCAGGTGTGATTGTATAGATGGGCACAGCTAGATATGTAGACACCACAAAAGCAAGTCTTGAATATTGAGTACATATGGCTAAAAGTATGACTAATACCTTTCCTTGAAATCCTTGGCTGACCGCTTATTAAATACAGAATATTTCTAGTGAGATGTGACCAGAATAATATTGACAGATTTGTTTCTTCCTTTCAAACTGTAAAGGTATCCACAGGCATGAGATACTTGACATTGCAGCACATTTGGACTATTCTTGGTCTGCATCATACGCATGGTTAGGTGTTCATCAGTTTGCAGCACCCTTTATAGAAAGAAAATGTTTATCAACTTGGTTTGAGTGTTTTGGTCTGCATAGAATTCGATAAATTAGGGCTGCAGCTAACGATTGTTTTCATCGATTAGTTAGCCGATTATTAAGTTCGATCGGATTAAAAAAAAAAAAAAGGCTCCAGTGATGGACTACTAGTTTGTATTAAGATTGTAGTCCATCACAGGAGCAAGCTTGGAGCGGTGGAAGTAAAAAAAAGTGTGGTGTGCAATATAGTACATTATACAGGGTCGCAATGCAGAATACCAGCAGCTATAGAGGAATACAGTAAATCGCAGCAATCGTAATTATACTATAATGTACTATTGCTGGGATTTGTAGTCCTCTGTAGCTGGTGTTTTTGGAGAGGACGGGTATGATGGTGGAATGGAGTGCAGGGATGGAGAGGATGGGTATGATGGTGGGATGGGGTGCAGAGGACGGGTATGATGGTGGAATAAGGTGCAGAGGATGGGTATGATAGTGGGTTGGGGTGCAGGGATGGAGAGGATGGGTATGATGGTGGAATGGGGTGCAGAGGATGGGTATGATGGTGGAACAGGGTGCAGAGGACGAGTATGATGGTGGATTGAGGTGCACGGTGTCAGGTCCCAGGCTTCGGGGTGCTCGGGGCACTTACTGTCTGAACATTCCCTCCATGTCTTCTGCCGAACGGTTCAGCCTGGATGCCAGCTCGTCCCCAGCCATAGTCTACCGTCCCCCGGCTGACACCCGTCGCGCTCACATCCCCATCATGTGATCACACCGGCCCGGCTAGATGTGAGGAGCACCGGGATTGGAGGTGGACCGCGGCGTGCACGTTTGGTGGCGTGTGCTGCGTGCGGGGCTTGAGTGTGGAGCCGCGAACAGGCAATGTAATAGCTGACTAATCGACGATCGAAAACGTTGACAACGTTTTCGATTGTCGATTTGAATCGACTAAATCGAATCGTTGTTGCAGCTCTACAATAAATACTATATTCATTTTAAAAAGGAACTTTACTCATATCTTTCAAATGACAACAAAGGCACCTTTTAGAAATGTTTAGTGATGGTAATCCACAGACAGATACTTCTAGATAATTATTCGTCCTCGTCTCACGGTGGTCGGTCAGTGAGCCAAAAGACATTGATACAGCGCGACACCTATGCAACTAGAATTTTTAATGAGGAGGCAAGCAATGGCAGTCTGCATACTTCATCAGTTCTGATTCCCTTTGATTTGTGTAGTTCTGAGAAATTCCGCAATGTTTAAAGCTGACCTTCGCTCATTTAAACATCTTCCCCTCACCTGCCCTCTCCCCCAATTATCTTACACATTTGTAGGGAGGTTTCATTTAAAACTATTTCTTAAAGGAGAACTATGAGGTGAGTGCCTTTTTAAATTAGTAGGACTTAGGCTTACTAAAAAGTCCAGAAAAAAAACCCAAGCATATGAGTCAATGATGAATATGTGCGCACATGCACATATTCATCATCACTGCACCTCTACATTACCACAATCAATGCTAATCACTTACAAAGGTGGAAATGGGCTTTAACCCTTGCCTAGGCAAGGACGACATATCTGGCCCCCCCGCCTCCTGACATGTCTACATCGCACACATCCCAGGAGGCAGTTTGCAAGATCTCAAGCATGTAGACGCATAGTGGGTCTCTGAGGGGAAGGGGGCTGCAAAAGACCCACAGCATATATACTTGTCATGTGGTGGAGGATCGGCGAATCACAGCAGGAAAACACTGGATTTGCTGGGTGGGTGTGTTTGCAAAGTTCAACCTAGCACAAAAGGTACCAGGGGGTAAAAGCAGATTAAACCTGAGGAAGGTGGGGTGAAGTTCTTCTTTTTGGACATTCCACCGAAGGAATGAGGATCGGCTGATTTGTATTTTCTTCATTTTTGCCCCTAGACCAAAATGAGCAGTTAACCCTTGCAGTGCTGTTCTTTTAGGTTGCAAGCAGTCAAAAACATTTTATTTCCGGTTACAAAAATGCTGCTATAACAGTTTTGTTATTATTGATCTGGCTGTTTTCATGTAAACTTTTGTTTGGTTGCTTTTGTTCATCTGCCAAATTTGGAGCTGACAACTGTGCTACTTCTTGCGCCCGGCAAGCCTGGTCAGTATTGCACGCAGAAAAGTAACTGGCGTCCACACATAATTAGCTCTCCATGTGTGTGAATTGAAGGACATGGAAATGTTAGTTTCTTAAAGGGTTTTAGGAGCTGCTATGGAATGTACCAGCACACTGCTGTGCTGCTACTGGAGGAGCAATGTTGTACATTTGTGTTTTAGGTAGTTCTAATGTCCATCCCTTTGATTCTACAATACCCTTGCTGGAGATTGCAGTGTCCATGTCCACACACAGATCAGCATCTCCAGAGCCCTGGCAGCTGGTGAAGTTCCATGCAGGAAAGCAGTAAGATTTACTACTAAAAGTTGAGCTCAAGGATAAGCAAATATTGTCTTAATACAAGAAGGATGTGTATTGTTACTGGAATCTTGGAGGGCTTCCTGTAATACTTCCAGATCTGTATAGTAATCTAGTGTGAAACTTTGCCTCTGTGCAGGAGCTTCCTGTAATAAAGATCGGTCACTGCTACTCTTGCTCCTTGTGCAGGGTGACTGGTCTTGTCTCCGTCCCCCCCTGTAATAAAGACCGGTCACTGCTGTTCTCTCTCCTTGTGCAGGTTGACCGGTCTTGTCTTCACCCCCTCCTGTAGTTATCTGCAGACAACCTATAGTGTGTGGGGTCTGCTGGGTCCCTCCCACAGCTCTGCTCTCTGCACAGGTAGCTGCGGCACAGTGATGATGTACTTTTACAAGGTAATGTTTGGGTTTACAAAGGCATGTTTGCACACAAAATGGATTTATATCCTTCGTGGCTATTGAGGAATACATTTTTAAGTGAAAGTTTTTTTTTGCCTGTAGTTCAGCTTTAAATAAAATACTATAATAGTAAAAATACAAGCTCTCTCAATGAGATAATTGGCTCACAGTTTATAACTGGCACATGTTAATATTGATATGTTTCACACTGAAAGGTCTTTGAAAGAGTTATTCCAAGCAAAAACGCACCAGGCGTTCAGGTTGGGTAACATTTCCATTTCCATTTGAAATACATTTCCATAAGCCAGTCCGTTACAGCGCAGTAGGTCTTGTTGTTTCAAATATTGGAGTTCCAATGACCTCATTCTCTTGTGTGGTGTTTATAATAGGATTAACTCTTGATAACACAGTATTTTTTACTTTACTTTTAAGTGATTCCGAGAAATATTGGGGGTCTAAATGGATCCCTGATATTTCCTTTTTTAAATAGAAAAAGAGATTGAGAACACGTAGAGTATGTCACCACAATCATGAATGAACAGGAGGTGATGTAGATCACTTCCCATTCATTCATAATTGAGGATATAGTAACCATACTCTGTCCTCAGTGATCACTGAGTGTTAGTAAATAATTGAGTGTTTGTACCGATCTCCATCCTGACAGCTGTTACAGGAGGCTGAGTGAGTGTTCTTGGAGAAGAGCTCTGCCTTTTGTGACAACGCGGGCTGTCTCCGCCCACACTGCTCTCCTCTGATCTGTGACAGGAGGCTGAACGGTGCAGGGAGGAGAGACACCAGCTACTCAACGCTTTCCTCCCTCAGCGCTCGGCTGCCTGTGACAGTTTCTCTCCTCCCCGCTGGGACACAGAGCAGCACCCAGTGTGGAGGAGAGAAACCAGGGATGCACCGCTGTAGCGGCAAAAAAATGGCACTTTCGGCATCTAGCCAAAAGTGCCATTTTCGGCTGATATGTTTCGGTGGCCGATATATCGGTGCATCCCTAGATCTAACTCTTGCCCAGTCATCTAGAACTAAAATAAAATGCTTTGGCTGGAGTTAGGCTGTAAGTTATTGTATGTATGCGTGTAGCGATCAGAAGGTGCGTACGAAAACAAAATTGCACATGCTGATTAATCCGTCCTGCCTGTGACATTTTGTATTCCAGCTGCAGTGTCCTGTTCCGCGATCATGGCCTCTCACATGATTTCAGCACTTCTCCTCCATAAACACAGAGCTGTGAGTACATTGTGTCCTAGAAGGAATCCAGAATCTTGGAAGGGATTTCTGCCAAGAGATAGGAAGCTGTAGTCTTGTATATTGGTTGCAGTGTCCCATGAGGCACATACGTGTGTTATTTATGAGTTATGTTTTTTTGGGAAACTTCTTTCTGCATCATTTTTTTTCCCTTAACACGTAATTCTAACTAAACATAAAACTATTTGTATTTTTTTTATAAACAGTGATATTACTGAATTCTAAATATATCTTATTTACTTTTTGCTTTGCAAGTACAAGGCTATTAAAAGGCACCTACATTCAGAACATCAGTTTTCGGCACACATTTGCTGGCTGTTGCAAAGCATTATCTTGGTAGCATATGAGTAATAAACAATAAACATAACTTCTACAATCTAGGATCATGCTGGGAATATAGCATCTCCATTTTGTGCTTAATCATCAGAATGACTTTGACTTTGTAAAGCTATATTCGGTTTACAGAAACATTTTCTGACACCAGCAGTTAAATATCATACAGTGGGATGCACTTTTTTAAAAATGTTCTTAGAAAATAGAATTTCTTGATTGTACAATACAGGACACAGGGAGGTAACTCTGGATGGGTTATGCAACAACCTTTAGGGGATTGGACATTGGCAAATCAAAGCTGTTAGGACAGTCCCGTACAACCCCTCCCTCAGTTTTTTGCTAGTGCCCTTGGGTGATGGATGCCTTCTCCTTGCTCTGTGATAAGTACATGCTTTTTCTGCACAAGACTTTTCTAGACAGTAACCCTATGCTGCTGGCAGCCAGTGCAGCAAACTATCAGCAGCTATCTTTTCCCCTTGATAGAGCACTGGCAGGCCTTATCCAGGTCTCCTATCTATACACATGTGATTGATCTTATGGCTTAAATTCTTCTTTGCTAGAAGTGCCCTGAATGCATGCCTTTTACTGCGGAACACCTGTTCAGAGAATCCTTGAATACTTAGGAAGTAATGGGGGCAGGAGCACCTTCCCTCAGAAGAAAAAGTCCAAGACTTCAGCAGCAAAATTTCTGCTCCCTCTTTCAAAAAAGGCTTAATTTGGTCCTTACCAAGCCTCAGGATCCAAATTCAAGCCAGGCTCTCAGATCCATTGTAAGCCCTGGCCCTCCAAGCCCTCTAAATCTGGGAGCAAGCCTTTTGCCCGATGCCTGGGTCCAGAACATTGTAACAAAGGTTTGCAGACTGGAAGTTCGCTCTCCCTGCCTCCTCACTTACTGCTGTCTAACTTACCAAGATCTCCCCAAAGCGCACAGATCTTCACGCTGCTCTAGGTCAGCTTCTTTCTCGGGGACCAGGATCCACCAGGACAATACCACAATCAGGCATGGAAAATTGGACGTCCTCTGTTGTCAGCCGCTGGACCCCACAGTATGGTACCTTCAGCCACAGGTGTTTCAGGACCTTTATCATGGGGGACACCAGAACTGGACCTTCTAGCGTCCGTGGGATCAGTTGAGCCACATCTAAGCCCTTCATTCTCTAAAACCCTTGCTTTGCCTCCTTCACATGATCGAGAGGGAAGTCGTACGCACACTGCTTCCTCCGTGGCACCTTAACTTAGTTCTGTCAGCACTGCAGAAGCCACCACTTGAATCTCTCAGCAATATCTATTGCAAGGAATATGGTCTTCCTTGCAAGGTGGCCTTCTCCCTAGTCATCACTTTTATCTGGCATTTTTCTGAATTGACAGCCTTGACTTGTAGAAAGCCCTTTGTGGTTATCCATAAGAATAAGGTTCTTTCTATGGTGATCTCTGTCTTCCTCCTTAGCCAAGGCATTGCCCTACCATCTTTAATCCTTATCATCCTAAAGAAAATGTTTTCCACTTTTTGGACGTGATTGGGACTGTTCATGTTTACCTCTCTGCTACTGCTTCTGTGAACTAATCCCTCAGGCCTATGAGTTGAAGGGTAAAGTGTCCCCCCCCCCCTTTCCTCTACTACTCAACCAGGAGTGGCAGTACTTTCTGGGCCTTCCAGCATAATACTTCTGTTTCCCAAATAAGTTGGGATTCCACTTGATCCTCTGTTCATACCTTTGCCAAATTCTAACTGATAGAGGTTTAGGTTTTTGCAGATGCTAGCTTTGGCTACAATGTTCTTCAGATGGCCCTTCTGAATTGCGGGTTCTCTCTGTGTTAGCTCCCTGTTGGGATTGGTTGTTGTTTGTTTTCTCAGGCTTGTTGGCTGTTTTGTGCTGTGTTGCATGCCCCAGTTAGACTGTTTTTGGACATCCCATCCGGTCAAGATTTAACTCCCTGTGTCCCGTGATGTACATTCAAGAAAACAGGATTGTTGGATTGGCTATCAAATCTGTTGATTGGAGTACATCACAAAGCATAGGGCCCTCTCCTGTGATCCACTCTTGTACTGCTTGCTACAAAACTGAGATAGGCTGGTAGTGGGTTGTGTTATACAAGCTGTCCTAGTAGCTTTGATTTTCCAGTGTCCAGTCACCTTTTAAGGTAGCTGTATAACCCATCTGTTCAAGATTTAATTACTTGTGCCCTGTATGTTTTTTGAAAAACAATTTTACAGGTAAGATCTAGTCTGTTGAGGGACACAAGTCTGTATTGGGCAGGCTTTGCATATAATATCTAATGTAATTCTGTTTATCATTTTGACATGTTTTCACTGTAGGCTTTCTTAACTTTCATCTTGTTTCATCATAAATTGTATTTGAATTGTCTAACTTTATGACAGGTTTCATCCTTTAAAAATCTCTTCTGTATTTATCTCTGCTGTGTTCTTTCAGGGGGTCTCCCTGTCTAGACTCCTTTTCGAGTTCTCATCATTGACGGAAGATATCCTCCTTCATGGATTTGACTTGGGATTTTCTGGCCAGCGCTGGGACCTGCTTCGCCACAGTCTCTACATGTTGCGGAGCCACGTGACCCTCTTTTCTGCACCATCCAATGATGTATATGTTTTCTATCGAACATCGGATGATAGCGTTAGACAGCTGGCACAAAGGAGTGCTGCCTTGCTCCCTGTCTTCCTGTATGAAGCTATAGGAGGTGAAATTATAGCAAAAAGTCTGGTTCAGTGGCGTAAAATGTTTTGTGCAGTTTATCAAAGTGTGAAATGAAATATTTGTATTGAAGAGTATATAAATGGGTGGCATCATTAATACTGTATCTTTGATTTTATGACCAGAAAACCCCCCAGCCTTTTATTAGTTTGCATTTGTCATTGGACATATATACAGTCTAACCAAAAGTTTGTGGACACCTGACACTGAAGCTGCCACAGGTCAGCTCTATTGATATCAAACGCATACCGCCGTTCACTGACTTCCCGATCCTCTCCCAGCAGTGAGCTGTGACTGTCAGTCACCACTCCCTGCTGGTATTCCCCCCCCCCCCCCCCCCTCTCCCCCCCTCCCCCCCCCCCTCGTGCCTCCTCTCCCTCTCCATCTCCCCTCCTCTCC